GGACTAGAACCTGGTGTGCTGTTGCCACAAGGTGGAGGATTAGCCTATTGAACTGCGGCGCCGGCTGAGTGTTTTATTTTTATTTGTGATTAGATTCAAACTTTAGAAAAGTAAACAGAATTCTTCCCCAGAAATAACTATGGATTATTTGGAAATCTTCTACAAATTATTTAAGAACTAACTGATAGCTATTTAAATATAAAAACTTAGTTTTATCCTGCAGCAGGTGTGTTGTACCCAGAATGTCAAGGGTTAACATATACTATGGGTAACCTCAGGACCATCAGTATATTTGTTTTTGGCCATACAGTCCTACCTGCAATGTCAAAGATAATCACACTTACCATAAAAAGTGACCCAAAATATTTAGAGAAAAAACACTCATGTATTATTTCAAGCTCTGTTAAGATATAAGATATAAGATATAAGATATCTATGTATCATTGCATATATAGAAGACATGCACACATTTTTATAAATATGGATCTCAGTGCTAAGAGGGGTCTTGAGTCAGTCATGGAAAATGTATATGATGAAATTAGCATGCATAGATATCTAATTTTTCAATCAAAATAACTGATATTTCATTCTGTTCTTGAACCTCATGAAGCCCCTTTGTATGCACATAACTGTGACATATCACAACTGTCAAGGTATTTAAAAGACCAACCATGTTGTACTCAATTGGTTATATTAGGGTTAGCTTCCATAAAGTCCCACCTAAACCTTCTGGCTGCAGCAGGGCCTTGCAATAGTTCCCCTCTGAACCCCACAAACTACATTTTTTCTGACTGGATACAACCATTCTACTTTTATATTTGGGGGGCGGGGAACAAATGTTCTCTTCACTAGAAGTTGTTGACCATCCAAAGAATTAAACCTGGAACATAGAGAGGAGGGTAGAAAAGGCTTGTTCAGTGCATATACATCTCCCTCTAATTTGAAAGGTCTCCCTGTTACCACTTATTCCTGTTCTCCAGCTTCATCCAATCCTGAGGAAAATCCAGTTTACAAACCGTGCTGGAGATGATGTGTTTCCATGAAACAAGACACCATGTGGTACATTATGATATTCAGAACATTGTAAATTTTCCTGCTGGATTTCGGTTGCTGGTTAAAATTGGAGAATTTTCCTCTAAGAGTCCACATGACCAAGATTTGCTGATCAATGAAGACATTATAGAATGGCCTGTTGGATTCAAAAAGGTGCAGTTTTCTTTTTATGTTGGATAACTACAGAGAGATCTGAGTAGAGCCTTGGGAGATTAAGTGTGAAGTGACCATGTGATTCCCATTTCCCATCTTGGCACTTAACTGATGGTGTTCCTTACACATATCCTGAGCTAACACCTATCAGAAGAGCATGAGTGCATAGCCTTACCTTTTCAGTTTTGTCATAATTATTGGTGTAGCAGTTGAGTTAAAACTAGACAAAGTTAATGAATAGAAACAGAGACCCAAGTATAGATATACACATCTTTAATATATCTCTGTATATATTCTCAACTCTTTAATCTCATAAGTCACAGTCTTTATTTGAATGGCAGAGTTAGAGAGAGGAGAGGGGTCGGGAGAGAGAGAGAGAGAGAGATCTCTTCTGTCTGCTGGTTTATTCCCCAAATGGACAACAGGCAGGACTGTACAGGTCCAAAGTCAGGAGCCAGGAGTTGCTTCTGGGTCACTCATGTGGGTGCATGGGACCAAGCACTTGGTCCATCCTCTGCTGCTTTTCCAGGCATGTTAGCAAGGAGCTGGATTGGAAGTGGAGCAGCTGGGAATAGAAATGGTGCCCACATGGGATGCTGGTGCAGCAGGAGGTGATTTAATCTGCTACACCACAACACTGGCCCCCCTTGTTATATTTTCATGCATGAAAGGACAAATACATAATGGGTTGACTTATTCATCTTCTTGCAAATACTATACCCATATTCCTTTGTCATTTTGCATATATTTTAGTTTCTTTTTTCTTTTACAGGCAGAGTGGACAGTGAGAGAGAGAGACGGAGAGAAAGGTCTTCCTTTTGCCATTGGTTCACCCTCCAATGGCTGCTGCGGCCGGTATGCTGCGGCCGGCGCACTGTGTTGATCTGAAACCAGGAGCCAGGTGCTTCTCCTGGTCTCCCATGGGGTGCAGGGCCCAAGCACTTGGGCCATCCTCCACTGCACTTCCTGGCCATAGCTGAGAGCTGGCCTGGAAGAGGGGCAACTGGGACAGAATCCGGTGCCCCGACTGGGACTAGAACCTGGTATACTGGTGCCGCTATGCAGAGGATTAGCCTATTGAGCCGCGGCACCGGCTTATTTTAGTTTCTAATGTCTGTTCCTATTAGCTTTTTTTCTTTTTTTTATTTTTTACTTATTTATTTGAAAGGCAGAGTTACAGAGAGGTAGAGGCAGAGGCAGAGGCAGAGATAGAGATAGAGAGAGGTCTTCCAAATGCTGGCCCACTCCCCAAATGGCCACAATTGCCAGAGCTGAGGTGATCCAGAGCCAGAAGCCAGGAGCTTCCTCTGGGTCTCCCACATGGGTTAAGGGGTCCAAGGATTTGAGGCCCAAGGACTTCTCAGGCCATAGGAAACAGCTGGATTGGAAGTGGAGCATCCTATTAGCTTCTTAAAATACTGTACATTATTTATGTCACCTTTCACAACTTGAATCTCCCAGAAAATTATGCAGATCTTTTACCTAACAGTTGTGCAGGCCCCCTCATATGGGCTGGTTTTGAATAGAATCAGTGCTTTACCTAAACAGAGAAATCTAGAAGTGGATTAAACCCAATCCATATTCAAATGCGTTGTATCACTTTTCTGTTGGCATTTAATTTTTTGAGTAGTTATTTTGAAGTGTGCCCATTGTCATGCATTTTAGTTCTTTCATCTGGAATGTAAAATCTTTTGCACAATCAAGGATGAGAGAATGATAAAAGAAGTTCAGACATGTTCGGAGAAACTTTACTACCCAGGAGAATGCATTTTAAAGATTTTAGATAAAGTGACTTGATAGGCACGACAAATGCCCAAGGGATCTAACTGATAATACATGAAATAAAACTGAGCAGGTATTTTTGTAATACTTGATAAAGAATTGATGAGGCAGGAATGATGATCATAGAAACCTGCATTAAATGTCATAGTCATGGCCTTCAGTTGAAGGTCAGTGTTATGCTGTAAGGAGGGAAGTATTGACATCCATTATAATGGCTGATAATGTGGCAAACCATGATCAGTGCTTTTCTTTTTCCTTCAGACTCCTCAATCTGTGTGTAGCCAGAGCTGTGGTCCAGGATTTCGGAAAATGTCACAGGAAGGAAGACCTGTCTGTTGCTATACTTGTGTTTTTTGTCCAGAGAGAGATGTTTCCAATCAGACAGGTAGAAAATACAGAATTTCAGATTGACAGCTTTCCTGTCCTAATTATTTCTCAATAAAAAAGAAACCAAAGAGATTTGCAGTGACTTCATACTGCACCGTTGTTCTCAATGCCAGGTTATACTCATTCATTCAGTGTATCCATGCATGATTATTACTGCTACTTTATGTATAAGCTATTGTCTAGTGATATTCCTTCTAAAATATTTCTGAAAGCACTAGATAAGACAGTATTCTTCTCTGATTTGCAAGTGAAACACATTATATTCTAAGACATATAAGATGTGTAATCACCTAAGCTTCCTGTTGGTGCCTAGTAGTCTTGAAACCAATACATTTTTATATACACATGATAAGCACAAAGCTATTGCACATATTTCATTATATAATTATTGCATTCCTTTTAATACTGTATCTTTAATATTATATGTGATACTAAGGATGTCTAATTAAAACCACAACACTTTCTCTCAGGTCTATGGAATTTATTAAGATAAATATTCTAAGTGAAATATGAATAACACATCCTAATTAAGTATACAATTTAGTATCCCTATAAAAACTTTTGAACGAGACAAGAAATTACCTATCAAAATTATGAATCAAAATGCATGTACTGAGAAACAAAAAATATACTAGGTCTCAATGAGAACTACTTCCATTGTTCAAAATATCCAAAAATAGACCTTGGAGTCATTTGATTCCCTCCAAAAGGACTTTTTTTTTTTTTTTAAATTTTTTTTTTTTGACAGGCAGAGTGGACAGTGAGAGAGAGAGACAGAGAGAAAGGTCTTCCTTTGCCGTTGGTTCACCCTCCAATGGCCGCTGCGGCTGGCGCGCTGCGGCCAGCGCACCGCGCTGATCCGATGGCAGGAGCCAGGAGCCAGGTGCTTTTCCTGGTCTCCCATGGGGTGCAGGGTCCAAGCACCTGGGCCACCCTCCACTGCACTCCCTGGCCACAGCAGAGGGCTGGCCTGGAAGAGGGGCAACTGGGACAGAATCCAGCGCCCCGACCGGGACTAGAACCCGGTGTGCCGGCGCCGCTAGGTGGAGGATTAGCCTAGTGAGCCGCGGCGCCGGCCTGGACTTTTTTTTTTTGACAGGCAGAGTGGATAGTGAGAGAGAGAGAAAGGTCTTCGTTTGCCGTTAGTTCACCCTCCAGTGGCCGCCATGGCCGGCGCGCTGCGGCCGGTGCACCGCACCTATCCAAAGGCAGGAGCCAGGTACTTATCCTGGTCTCCATGGGGTGCAGGGCCCAAGCACTTGGGCCATCCTCCACTGCACTTCCTGGCCACACAGAGAGCTGGCCTGGAAGAGGGGCAACCGGGATAGAATCCAGTGCCCTGACCGGGACTAGAACCTGGTGTGCCAGCGCCACAAGGCGGAGGATTAGCCTAGTGAACCACGGCGCCGGCCCCAAAGGGACTTCTTAATTCAATTATGTTATCAGTAGCAGCCATTTGGTTTCAATCTTTCCCAAGAGGAAATTTATATTATTAGTCATTAGAAAGTTAAAGAATGACTAAACTTATCCATAATGTGTTTGGGAATGCCCACTAATGTATAAAAAAGTATGAAAAGCGAATGAACATATACTTGAAGCCCATTGTGCAGCAGCATTTGCTTGTGTGCCCTCAGAATGTCTCTGAGATCACACTTGGTGAATATATAAAGAATGAGTGTCTCAAGATAAAAATTGCCAGGAAGAATTATTTTAAAATGTTTCTTAATATTTTATGGTTGAATAAGTACCACTTGCAAAAATTTTATAATACCTTTATGATAAAGGTAGCCAAATCAATACCACTTTCTGTATTTAGCTGAAGTATCATTGAAGCAGAGAAATACCCATTCATTGACCTCTATTTAGGACTTCTTTCTTGAATAATGGCATAAAAGAGTTGTTTCGTGAGGGACAATGTGGTGTGCAGAGCTCAAAGTATTCCCCTCCTTCCATGAGGCAGAAGGGTAACAAGCCATTATTTCAGGTGAAATTGGAAAGTTTCAAAAACCTAATTTCTCCTTGAAAATTTTGTTGAAAATATCAATTATACCCAAATGACTTATATTAAAGTCAAACACCTCCATAAAATCCAAATGTTTTTGATTTGATAAAATGAATTTCAACTTTTGCATTGAATAACTGACAAAAAGTGTCCCAGAGATATGAAAATGTAAAACAAGGAAAGACTTTTTTTTTTTACCAGATATCAAATAGTATACAATGAAGAATTGCTAAGAATTAGAGTATTGATTGTTGTAAGGATTTCATAGGCATTTTGCATTTTTATTTCTCTGCAAGAGAAGGAAAGCTCTAAAGTTGATTATCCGAGGCAAATGTTCTCAGCCATGATTATGCAGGATTTAACATGAGAAAGACTGGTGACAGTAGAGAGAGGAGTTGGGAAGAATGCATGTGGTCATCACTGTGCCATAGGATGAGCCACCTTAACCACCCATTTGCTAAAGATGCCGTTTGAATGAGTTTGTTCCCATTTGTAGATGAGAATTCTCCCTGGGTCAGGAATGTAGAAACTTCCTCTGGTGTGGCCTCATATATTTTTTTAAAGAAAACTTTTATTTAATAAATATAAATTTTTAAAGTACAACTTCTGGATTATAGCTGTTTTTCCCCCCATAACTACCATCCCATGCACAAACCATTCCATCTCTACTCCCTCTCCCATCCCATTCTTCATTGATTCATTTTTAATTATCTTTATATGTAGAAGTTCAATTTAGTACAAACTAAAGATTTCAACAGATTGCACCCACAAAGACACACAAATTATAAAGTACTGCTTGAAGACTAATTTTACTGTTAATTATCATAGTACAACACATTAAGGACAGATATCCTACATGGGGAGTAAGTGCACAGTGACTCCTGTTGTTGATATTTAATTGACACTCTTATTTATAATGTCAGTGATCAACCGAGGCTCTTGTCATGAGCAGCCAAGGCTATGGAAGCCTCTTGAGTTCACAAACTCTGACCTTATTTAGACAACGCCATACTCAAAGTGAAAGTTCCTCACTTCAGAGAAAGGTACCTCCTTCTTTGATGGCCCGTTCTTTCTGCTGGGATCTCACTCACAGAGATCTTTGCTTTAGGTCATTTTTTTTGCCACAGTGTCTTGGCTTTCCATGCCTGAGAAACTCTCATGGGCTTTTCATTCAGATCCAAATACCTTAAGGGCTGTTTCTGAGGCCAGAGTGCTATTTATGGCATTTGCCATTCTATGAGTCTGATGTGTATCCTACTTCCCATGTTGGATAATTTTCTCCTGTTTAATTCTATCAATTATTATTAGCAGGAGATGGTCTTATTTGTGTGTTCCCTTTGATTTTCATCTTATCTTTATGATCAATTATGAAATTAAACTGATCATTTTAACCGATAAGGTGGCATTGGTATCTGGGTGTGGCCTCATATTACATCAGAGTATTTTATACTCAAAATGGCATTGCAAAGTGACCATTTTTCCCAACAGGGAAAACTTCAGAATTTCAGTAATGGAAACTCAGCCTTTCTTCTTCCTCAGATGCAGAACAGTGTATCCAGTGTGCAGAGCATGAGTATCCAAACATGGAGAGAAGTCGCTGCCTCCCCAAGCTAATGACTTTCTTAGCCTTTGAGGATACCCTGGGGATGGCCCTAGCCTGCATGGCTCTGTGCTTCTCTGTCCTCACAGCTGTGGTCCTTTGGGTCTTTGTGAAGCACCGAGACACTCCCATCGTCAAGGCCAATAACCGATCTCTCAGCTACATCCTGCTCATCGCCCTCCTCCTGTGCTTCCTGTGCTCCTTACTCTTCATTGGCCGTCCCAATACAGCCACCTGCCTTCTCCGGCAAATAGCATTTGGCCTTGTGTTCACAGTGGCTATTTCTGCTGTGCTGGCCAAGACCATCACTGTGATTCTGGCTTTCAAGGTTATGAAACCTGGAAGAACTATCAGGCGATTGCTGGTATCAGGAGCTTCTAACTTCATCATTCCCATCTGTTCCTTGATCCAACTCACTTTCTGTGGCATCTGGTTGGGCATCTCTCCTCCTTTTCTTGAGTTAGATGCATATTCTGAGCATGGCCACATCATCCTGGTGTGCAACAAGGGCTCAGTCACTGCCTTCTACTGTGTCCTGGGCTACCTGGGCTCCTTGGCCCTGTTCAGCTTCACTGTGGCTTTCCTAGCCAGGAACCTGCCTGACACATTCAATGAAGCCAAGTTCCTGACGTTCAGCATGCTGGTGTTCTGCAGTGTCTGGGTGACCTTCCTGCCTGTCTACCACAGCACCAAGGGGAAGGTCATGGTGGCTGTGGAGGTCTTCTCCATCTTGGCCTCCAGTGCAGGGCTCCTGGGCTGCATCTTTGCCCCCAAGTGCTACATTATTCTTATAAGGCCTGAAAAGAATTCTCTGAAAGGCTTAAAGAAAAGAGCAAGTTCTAAGGGATTCTAATATTTTTCTGCTTTTTTTGTTGTCACATTTTCAGAGTTTGGTGCCAAAAACCAAACTGATATAACATTCCATATATATAAAATAACTAAAATCAACTTTTCCTTTGAAAATGACTTCTAGGTAGGACACTTAGCCTAGCAGATTACATGGGATCAGTTTCTGGCTCTGACACCTGGCCTGTACTTTTGACTCTTGGGGACCCTGGAAGGAAGTGGTGATGGATTATGGAACTTGGTTCTGGCCACCCATATGAGAATCCTGGTTTTACTCCCTGTTTTTGGCTCTCGCCACAGCCTAGGCATAGGCATTTGGGGTGTAGAAGCATGAGGTATAGAATGAGAGGTCTCTGTGGCTAAGTAGTCACTAATGTTCTCGCAGCCAATATCATACTGAATGGAGAGAAGCTGAAAGCATTTCCCCTCAGATCTTGAACAAGATAGGCATGTCTACTCTCACCATTCTTATTCAGTACACAACTTGAAGTGTTGGCAGGAGCAATTAGGGAGGAGAAAGAAATAAAGGGCATCAATATTGGAAAGGAGGGGGTGAGCGCTGTGGCGTAACAGGTAAAGCCACCCCCTGCAGTGCTGGCATTCCCATATGGCTCTAGTTCAAGATCTGGCTGCTCCTTTTCTATCCAGCTCTCTGCTATGGCCTGGGAAAGCAGTGAAAGATGGTCTAAGTCGTTGGGCCCCTGCACCCAATGTGGGAGATGTGGAAGAAGCTCCTGGCTCCTGGCTTGATTGGTGCAGCTCTGTTCATTGAGGCCGTTTGGGGAGTGAACCAGCAGGTGGAAGATCTTTCTCTCTCTGACTCTCCTTCTCTTTTTGTGTAACTCTGACTTTAAAATAAATAAATAAATCTTGGGGCTGGTGCTGTGGCACAGCAGGTTAACATCCTGGCCTGAAGCGCCAGCATCCCATGTGGGCACCGGTTCAAATCCAAGCTGTTCCACTTCCTATCCAGCTCTCTGTTATCGCTTGGGAAAGCAGTAGAAGTCCTTGGGTCCCTGCACCCATGTGGGAGACCCAGAAGAAGATCCTGGCTCCTGGCTTTGTATAGGCACAACTTTGGCCATTGTGGCCAACTGGGGAGTGAACCATTGAGTGGAAGACCCCCCCCCCGCCTTTCCTCTCTCTCTGTAAGTCTTGACTTTCAAGTAAATTAAATACATCTTTAAAATAAATAAATAAATAAATAAATAAATATTTTAAAAACTTGGAAAGGAGGAGGTCAAACCATCTGTTTGCAGATGACACAACACTGTACATGGAAAATCCTAAATGCTCCACCAGAAAGCTGTAGAACTGATAAACCAATTCAGTAAAGTTGCAGGTTACAAATAAACACCAAAAAGCCCACTGGCTTTTTAATACACTAATGATGAAATCATCAATATAGATACCAAGAAAGAAATCTCATTCATAATATCCACAAAACAATCAAATACTTCAGAATAAATTTAACCAAAGAAATGCAAGATCTCTACAATGAAAGTTATGAAACATTGATGAAATAAATCATCAAGGACACAAAAATGAGGAAAGATATTCTTTGTTTATGAAATCAGTATCCTTATAATATCTGTACTAACTAAATAAATCTACAGATTCAATACAATATCTGCAAAAATACTAAGGGCATTCTTCACAGAGATAGAAAGGGCAATCTTGGCCAGTGCCACGGGTCACTTGGCTAATTCTCCACCTGCAGCGCCAGCATCCCGGTTTCCAGTCCTGGTTGGGGTGCTGGATTCTGTCCCGTTGCTTCTCTTCCAGTCCAGCTCTCTGCTGTGGCCCGGGAGTGTGGTGGAGGATGGCCCAAGTGCTTGGGCCCTGCACCCACATGGGAGACCTGGGGAAGGCACCTGGCTCCTGGCTTTGAATTGGCGCAGTGCACCAGCCGCAGTGTACCGGCCACAGTGGCCATTTAGGGGGTGAACCAATGGACCTTTCTCCCTTTCTCTCTCTCTCTCTCACTGTTTAACTCTGCCTGTCAAAAAAAAAAAAAAAAAGGGCAATCTCAATTCATACGGAATCACAAAAGATCCAGAATAGCCAAAATGATCTTGATAAAGAAAAAATCAAGTTGGAGGCATCACAATACCTGACTTGAAAGCATATTACAAAGATATAGTTATTGAAACATCATGGTACTAGCATAAAAACTGACACACAGATAAATAGAGCAAAATAGAGGGCCTAAAAATTAATCAATGAATATACAACAAACTGATTTTTGACAGAAGTTGGTGTATATATGCAGAAGAATGAACCAGGTCCTTACCTCTCACCATATGCAAAAATCAACTCAAGATGTATCAAAGACCCAAGTTGAAGACCTGAGAGTATACAGTTGCTGGAAGAAAATTGGGGTAAGCATCTTGAGACATTGGGTTAGGTGATGACTTTTTGGATAAAAACCCCTAAATCATAGGCAACAAAAGAAGAACTAGAGAAATGGGTTTGCTATAAACTCAGAAGCTTCATTGCAGCAAAAGATACAATCAATAGAGTGAAGAGACATTCAACAGAATGGGAAAATATTTTTTAATTTTACTTACAAGTTTCATGTGTTTCATGTATGCAAATTTAGGAACATAGTGATACTTCTCCTCGTACCCTCCTTCATGCCCACACTCCAACACTGCTTCTTCCTACCTCTCCCATTCCTACTTTTAATTTTTACAAATATCTATTTTCAATGTACTTGGTGATCATATAGTTAACCCTACACTCAGTAAAAGTGTTCAACAAACTGTGTGAAACAATAACCACTCTTCTGCAACAGAAGAGACAAAGACTGTAAATGATCATTGAACCTCAAAATGTCCATTTTACCCCAATACATTATATTTCAGGTACGGTGTTAGTTACCTTGGGTCAGAGAAAATATGATATCTTCTTTTTGGGACTGACTTATTTCACTAAGTATAATGTTTTCCAGTTGCGTCCATCTTGTTGCAAAAGACAGGATTTCCTTTTTTTTTTAACAGCTGAGTAGTACTCCATAGTGTATATATTCTATAATTTCTTTATCCAGTCAACAGTTGATGGACACATAGCTTGTTTCCGTATCTTATCTATTGAGAATAGTGATGCAATGAACATGAGGGTATAGATAACTCCTTCAGGTGCTGATTTCTTTTGGTTAGGGTAAATTCCCAGGAGTGGGATGGCTGGATCATATGGTAGGTCTATATTCAGATGTCTGAGGTATCTCTCTTGTTTTCCACAATGGCTGCACCAATTTACATGCCCACTGACAGTGGATTAGGGAACCCTTTCCACCACATCCTTGCCAGCATTTGTTGTTTGTTGATTTCTGTAAGAGAGCCATTCTAACTGGAGTGAGGTGAAACCTCATTGTGGTTTTGATTTGCATTTCCCTGATGGCTAGTGATCCTGAACATTTTTTCATGTGTCTGCTGGCCATTTGGATTTCCTCTTTTGAAAAATGCCTATTCAAGTCCTTTCCCCATTTCTTTCTTAATAGGATTGTATTTTTTTTTATCTTTTATTTAATGAATATAAATTTCCAAAGTACGACTCATGTGTTACAATGGCTTCCCCCCCATACCATCCCTCCCACCCACAACCCTCCCCTTTCCCACTCCCTCTCCCCTTCCATTCACATCAAGATTCATTTTCGATTATCTTAATATACAGAAGATCAGCTTAGTATACCTTAAGTAAGGATTTCAACAGTTTGCTCCCACACAGAAACATAAAGTGAAAAATAATAGATGATTTTTTTAAAATGATGATGATTTTTTGTTGTTGTTGGATGTTAAGCTCTTTTTAGATTCTGCATATTAACCCTTTATCAGTGGCATAGGTTGCAAATACTTTTTCATCTGTCGATTGCCTCTCCATTTTGCTGCGTGTTTCTTTTGTGGTGCAGTAGCTTTTCAGCTTGATGTAATCCCATTTGTCCATCTTGGCTTTGATTGCCTGTGTGTGGGGCTCCATGGGATGCGCAGCCATGGAGCCCCCACGTCAAGGTCGGTCTGATAGCTGTTGATGTGTCTTTATCACAAGGTGGATGTTGCTAGTTCCGGTTAGGGCAATGCTTTCCCACGGTCGGGACTTTCCAGAGGAGTTGAGAATGTTGTAAACAACAAGATGGCACCGAGGACCGCGCGGTGAGCCTGCCTGCTGCGTGACACCTCATCTGATTGGCCCGAGGACACATGCACACTGCGTGAACAGACAGCGGATTGGAGTGTTACGTGCATGGACTTGAGCCCGCTTGCAATTGGCCAGATTTTGTATATAAGCTGTGTGCTGAGGAAGGAGGGGGCTTTTCTGTCCACTCTCCTCCCTTCATTCTTTCTCTGTCACTGTTATTTTCTCATTAAAAGTCTACTGAAGACCGATAAGCTGTGAACAGTGTCGTTCCTTTGCGGGCAAGGGAGCGGCAAGTGGTTCCGTGACTCGGATTCGGACCACTTTCTACACGCTGGAATAGGTAAGAACAAAAGGTAAGCGTGTGTGTGCACAGAAATCCAGCTGGGGAAAGAATAGAAACCGTGGTTCTGTCGAAGAAAGATGGGGAAATTAAGCGCCAGAAAAAATGGTAAAGGAATCCCTTAAAAGGCGGGAGTACAAAGTGTTCAGAAATGCCAGGAAATAGGCGGAAACTTCCCTTTTACCTCCAAATGGACAATACTCCGTCCACCACTAGGTTGTGCATGCTGTTGAGCTGCTTGTTAAAAGCTGTGAGGACGCCCGTTAAGGCGGCTACAGTATGCGCATTCACTAGGGCCGTTCCCAAGACGTCACCATGGTTTGTGGAAGGTGGCGAATTAGATGAGCAACAGTGGCGGAGAGTAGGGAGACAGTTGAGAGCAGCCGAAGAGCTGGTAGAAATACTTAGATTATGGGCCGCGCCGCGGCTCACTAGGCTAATCCTCCGCCTAGCGGTGCCGGCACACCGGGTTCTAGTCCCGGTTGGGGCGCCGGATTCTGTCCCGGTTGCCCCTCTTCCAGGCCAGCTCTGCTGTGGCCAGGGAGTGCAGTGGAGGATGGCCCAGGTGCTTGGGCCCTGCACCCCATGGGAGACCAGGAAAAGCACCTGGCTCCTGGCTCCTGCCATCGGATCAGCACGGTGCACCGGCCGCAGCGCGCCGGCCAAGGCGGCCATTGGAGAGTGAACCAAGGGCAAAGGAAGACCTTTCTCTCTGTCTCTCTCTCTCACTGTCCACTCTGCCTGTCAAAAAAAAAAATACTTAGATTATGGCAACTCATTGAACAGACACTTCAGGACCCCACTGAGAGCATAGGGCTTTTACTTGATGAAGGATGCGAGCCCCTAAAAAAGGTTCAGGAGGAGTCTCGGCATGATAGTCCAGTGACTATGGTAGTCAGCGGGACAGGAAACAGATGGACAAAGGTCCCTGTAGGGACGAGCCACTGGATGAGACAGATAAAAATTCAGTGAAGGACCATGCTCCATCGAGTGTGCCCCTGCGCTTGAGGGGGCCATCTCATTTATATCCCAGTTTGACTAGGCTAGTAAATTTGTCCTTAGAGGACGAACCGCCGCTGCAGTATCGTCCGTTGACTCTCCCTAAATTGGCCCCTAGGAAAAAAAAAAAAGCTATAAAGACTCCATTACAGATACAGGGAATAGGGTTAAACAAGGCAAGCCATAGAACGGTTCATTAATGCTATAAAAATAGTCCTTGGTTAGCAAAAGGAGTCGTGAATGAGCAACATTGGGATTTACTTGAAAAAAAAAACTTAAATGTGTTTTTAAAAAAACAAAGCAAGCCATGACAAAGGCTGTGAAAACTTTGTTACAGATGTAGAGAATAGGGTTAAAGAAACAAACCGTAGAGCAGTTTATCAGTGCTGTTGAAACAATTAGTCCTTGGTTTGCTGAAGAGGGTGTTGTGGATAAGAAACACTGGGAGTAAAAAATATAGATCAGTGTATACTGGACAGCCCTCACCTTGCATTTAAATATTTCATTTGAAGTAAATGTTCTCTGTTATAAAGTTCATATTACTATGTGAAATGAGAAATTGTGCTGACAAAGTGTCTGGACTACCCATTCTGTTTTTGTTTTATGTACTAACTCTACCCCTATTATTGATAGGAATGCTTGAGCAGATTATGCTTGGTTTGCTTTACAAAAAAAAAAAAAAGTCAAAATATGCCGCAAGTAATTAAGATTCCACACACCTGCAGAAATGTAATAATTACAGATAATAAGAGGCTAGTTCCCTCAGATATGTTTCAATTTATCCTTAAAACATATTGAATATTATTGTGTTTGATTGCTAAAGGTAGATTTGTATAAAAATTTGTATTATATTCTTATGATGTGTTACTTATGCCTATACCTTGGTGCAACTCTAGGGCCAAATGTAAGGACAAATTTTTGGGATGGAGAGGCTGTGTCTTTGTTTGGCTCTGATAAATAAGTAACTTGTCTGCCGGATGACCTTCTCCTGCTCCTTGGGAGCCTGGCCAGCTCCCGGGGAGGGGGATAAAGGAATGTTTTCTGATAAACAGGTGGGCATGCTTCGTGTCTCGGCTCTCTGGCCAAGATCCGGGACGGGACGCACTGCTTGCCTAACATCTTGGCAATGAGCCACCCTTGTCCTTGGGGGCTTTAAGGGGGAGCCGGAGCAAGCCTCTGCTGCTGCTGTTCCATCCCGGGGGAACATGCAGTCATGCTGGACGTTGAACGTGCAGGTGATGACTACTAATGATGGATCTCAGTATGGATCCTTTTCTGGTGCTGTGTAAAGACTGCCTAGTAATGCCCATAGTACTGTAAATTCTACAAAACATAAGTACAATGCAGATATGGATTGATTGGCTATTGTGGCTGAGGTGTTCTGTAACAGTCCCTTTAATAAAAAATTAACAAAATAAATTAATTTAAAAAACAGAACATTCAGGACCTGCCACTCTGCTTGGTATGTCATTACAAAAATCAACAAGGAGGGCTATACCTGATAAATGAGGGTGCTATCAATATGGGCAACAGGGACATGTACAAATATTGTCCAAAAGTCAAACATCAAAAAAGCCCCTCCTCCTGGGATTTGCCCCCGGTGCAAAAGAGGAAGGCATTGGGCCAATAAATGTCACTCCAAAACTAATAAAAAAAATTTCATTAAATAAATAAAGTTCAGAAAACTAAAAGTGAGGCTGGCCCCAGGCCCCATCCCAATAAATTTTGGGGGCCATGACATTTGTTCCTCAACAGAACACCCTAAATCCGTCAATTTCCTCCACGGAGCCACAGAGAGTAGTACAGGACTAGACCTCAGTGCCACCTCCTATACAGTATTAACCCCTGAGATGGGCCCACAAGGCTTCCCTACTGGGATTTTTGGTCCTTTGCCAACTGGGTTTTTTGGTCTCCTACTGGGCAGAAGTAGTATAACTATGAAAGGGTTACAGGTTTTTCCTGGAGTTATAAACACTGACTTTACTGGTGAGATAAAAATTATGACTCAAGCCAATAATGTAACTTTAACTCCAGGACAATGCATTGCTCACTTGATTCTGTTCCCCTTCTCTTCAATTGGTAAGTCTTTTTTAAATAAAAGAGAAAATAACGGTTTTGGATCTTCTGATGCTTATTGGATACAACCCATAACTAAGGACCGACCCAAATTTTTCTTAAAATTAAATAAAAAGTTATTCAGTGGTCTTTTAGATACTGGAGCTGGTACCTCTGTTATTTCAGCAGCAAACTGGCCCACAAATTGGAAAAAGAAAATTACCGTAACTCAATTGCAAGGTATTGGTCAGAGTCAAAGATTAACACAAAGTTCCATATTGCTACAATGGGAGGATAAAACAGGTAATGCTGGAGCCTGTCGCCCATATATTTTGGCTGCATTACTTGTTAATCTCTAGAGACATGATATTCTAACTCAAATGGGGGCTTTCATACACAGTCCAAATAAGATTATTACCATTAACATACTTCAACAAGGTCATTTGCCAGGTAAGGGTTTAGGCAAACAACAACAAAGCATCACATCTCCAGTTACTTTAACTGTCAATCATGACCAGAGAGGCTTGGGTTTCCCTTGATGGCTACTGGTCAGCCTGTGCCCCATGCAAAAAATAAAATAAAAATCAGATAATCCCGTGTGGGTGGATCAGTGGCCTTTACTGCAGAAAAAGAAATGCTGCACAGATATTGGTGGAAGAAAATTAACAACGGGACATATAGTTCCTTCTGATTCTCCTTGGAATAGTCCTATTTTTGTTATCAACAAGAAATCTGGGAGATAGCAATTGCTTCAAGGCCTTAGGGCTGTTAATGCTACTGTGGAAATTATGGGGGCTTTACAACCAGGCTTACCATTGCCTACTGCAATTCCAAAGGATTCTTATATTGCAATAATAGATTTAAAAGATGATTTTTATACTATACCTTTACATCCAGAAGATTGTCCCCGATTTGCTTTCAGTGTTCCATCAGTAAATTTTAAAGAACCTATGCAAAGATGCCAATGGAGGATCTTACCTCAAAAAATGGCTAATAGCCCTACTTTGTGCCAACAATTCATTGATGCTGCTCTTCAAAAAATTTACAAAAAATATAGCAATTTATATATTATACACTATATAAATGATATTTTAATAGCTGGACCCGAGGAATTTTTGGTGATGCAATGTCTGACAGTAATAAAAGAGCAATTATCTGCTTTTGGTCTTATCAAAGCCCCTGAGAAAATCCAACTTCAATATCCTTATCAATATCTAGGCTTCCAATTGTACCCATGAAAAATACTTCCACAAAAAGTCACCTTACAATTGGATTCTTTACAGACTTTAAATGATTTTCAAAAACTTCTAGGGAATATTAATTGACTTTCTTTACATCTCCACCTCACAACAGGAGACCTTAAACCTTTATTCAATATCCTAAAAGGAGGTCAAGCTTCTGTAATTTGTGATGGTCACCGTACGGTTATTAACACCTCTTTTTCATCTCTACAACTAGTTAAATTAGCTACTGTTACACTTACATTACAGTCTACTTTAAATGTAGCAGTTAACATATACACCGATAACAAATATGTGTTCCTATCAGTGCCTCAATTGGACACTTGTTCATTCCTTCCTAAATCCTCAACTGCTTCTCCTTTGTTTTCTCGCATTTGCACTGTCATTTGACAACATACCTGTCCTTTCTTTATAGGTCATATTCGAACACATTCCAATCTTCCTGGACCATTGGTAGAGGGTAATCATTTGGCAGATTCTGCTCTATGCATATATTCTATTAATACAGCAACAAAAGATCATGTTTTACATCATTTAAATGCTCATACGTTATGCTTCAAACATAATATTACTCAAAAACAAGCTCGACAAATTGTAAAATTCTGTTCTACTTGCTCCATCCAATTACCAAAACCTCACTTTCAAATTAATCCTCATGATTTATTCCCCCAGTCAACTATGGCAAATGGATATCACCCACTTCATGGAATTTGGTAAACAAAAATATATACATGTGTCTATTGATACTTGTTCTGAATTAATTTTTACTTCCTTACATACAGGTGAAGCTACAAGACGTGTTATTGCCTGTTGCTTACAAGCTTTTGCTTCCCTAGAAACTCCAAAGCAGATTAAAACGGATAATGGACCTGCTTATATTTCTGCCTCTTTTAGAAATTTTTGTGTAACTTTTTTCTATCTCATGTTACTAACATTCCTTATAATCCTCAGGGTCTAGACATTATTATATGTACACATCACACTTTAAAACAATATTTTAATAATATAAACAAAAGGGGGAGTTTAGGGTTCTTGCCCATTCTCCTAACAAATGGCTCTCATGTGCTTTATTCATTTTAAATTTTTTTCACATTGGATAAAGATGGTCGTTTTGCAGCTGATCAACAGTGGCATCCACAAACAGCTGGGGTAAGAACAATGGTAAAATGGAAGGATCCTATCACCAATCAATGGAATGGACCTGATCCAGTACTGGTATGGGACATGGGCTCTTAAGGGATGTGTATTTTTATGCAACCAATTTGCTTTTACATTGTTAGCCCCTAATGATTTTCGCAACTGCTCATTGGGCCGTGTGGCCCCAATGCTAACGTCTGTATTTCCAAAGGCACGACAGCGACACTCATTACCTGAGAACTGTGATGATGATGTCATCTTAATTGGAGACCTGCTTTCACCATGGCTATACAGCTAGTGGGAGTTCCTGGATTGGCTTATGGAAATAATCGTGGACTATGAAGGCTTACATGTTTGGTGACCAAAACAATCTCACTGCTACTGCGCTATCCAATATAGCTGAAGAATTGGATCAAGTTCATTCAGGAGTACTCTTAAACTGAGCAGCTATCGATTATTTGCTGTTAAAAGATCATATAAGCTGTAAATCTGTTCCAGGGGAATGTTGTTTTAACATTACTAACAATGTGCCATATATAGAGTCTGTTATGGATAAACTTAAGAGTAAAATGCAACATATGTTTATTACTAACCCACTAACATTTGAAGGGTTTCTTTTTTTTAATTTTTTTAAGAAAAATATTTATTTATTTATTTGAAAGTCAGAGTTACAGAGAGACAAGGAGAGAGAGAGACAAAGAGATATCTTCCATCCGCTGGTTCACTTTCCAAATGGCTGCATCAGCCAGGGCTGGGCTAGGCTGAAGCCAGGAACCAGGAGCTTCATCTGGGTCTACCACATGGGTGGCAGGAGCGCAGACACTTGGGGCATCTTCTACTGCTTTTCCCAGGCCATTAGCAGGGAGCTGGATCAGAAGTGGAGCAACAGAGACAAAAGCCAGTGTGCAAATGGGATGTCGGTGTCACAGGTGGTGGCTTCACCTGCTATGCCAAAAAGCTGGCTCCGAGCTGGTAGAATTTTTCTAGTGAATCCCAGTTTTACCTCCTGCAGGGTTGGTAGATGATCACATGCACATTTTTGACTGCTGCTCCTCTTTCCATAAGAGTTTTCCCTCTAGACTACTGAGTCAGCACCATGATCCAAATAAACATCTGCTGTATTTTGTTGTTAGTAATGATAATGACTACTGGGGTCACTAAGGATGGGCACATTTGAAGGGTTTCAATGGATTCATTGGTTATTAATGTGGGCTGGATTGTTACTGCTTTTCATACTTTGTATGGGATGTTTTCCGTGTGTTCTGCAATTTGTGCTATCTTCGCTACAGTCTGTATGGACTAACATTCATCACTTAAAACTTCGTACCAAACCTCCTTTGTAATCAAAAATAATTAATATTTGGCTGTATGTTTCATCTCTCACCTAATGTTGGGCTAAAATGGTACTCAAAAACGGGTAAGACACTCCACATCCTGTACCTACCCAAGACAGGGCTCAAGTTAAAGAATGGGTCGCTATCGGTTGCTTGTTTGTCATGGTACTACTGGGCCTTGCCTTCATCGCCAGATGGATCAGAGCCTTAGCACTCCGTCAGCAGAATACCAACTTGATAATCCAACAGGCTATGCTGGCCACCTTGTGATCTCACCCCAATAAAGAAGTATGGCTTAGCATGATGGAGTGGTAGTCAAAGACGGGTAAACACTGATGGGCGCTCCTAGCAACCTAAGACAGAGGGTAGGACAGGCTTCCTATTACCTCCATGATGGGTAAGCAGGTAGCGCGCCATTGGGTACCTAAGACAGGCACGTTTCCATGTCATTTAAATAATAAAGAAGGGAGAGATGTGGGGCTCCATGGGATGCGCAGCCATGGAGCCCCCACGTCAAGGTCAGTCTGATAGCTGTTGCTGTGTCTTTATCACAAGGCGGATGTTGCTAGTTCCGGTTAGGGCAATGCTTTCCCACGGTCGGGACTTTCCAGAGGAGTTGAGAATGTTGTAAACAACAAGATGGCACCGAGGACCGCGCGGTGAGCCTGCCTGCTGCGTGACACCTCATCTGATTGGCCCGAGGACACATGCACACTGCGTGAACAGACAGCGGATTGGAGTGTTACGTGCATGGACTTGAGCCCGCTTGCAATTGGCCAGATTTTGTATATAAGCTGTGTGCTGAGGAAGGAGGGGGCTTTTCTGTCCACTCTCCTCCCTTCATTCTTTCTCTGTCACTGTTATTTTCTCATTAAAAGTCTACTGAAGACCGATAAGCTGTGAACAGTGTCGTTCCTTTGCGGGCAAGGGAGCGGCACCTGTGTTTCTGAAGTCTATTCAAAAAAGTCTCTGCTTATGCCAAAGTCTTGTAGAGTTTCCCTAATATTATCTAGTAATTTGATGGTATTGGGTCATAGATTTAGCTCTTTGATCCATTTTGGGTGGATTTTTTTTGTAACTTGTATGGTATGGGTCTAGTTTTATACTTCTGCAAGTGGAGATCCAGTTTCCCCAGAACCATTTGTTGAAGAGTCTGAGCTTGCTCCAGGGATTGATTTTAGCTCCTTTGTCAAAGATACATAGGTTGTAGATGTGTGGATTGATTTCTAGGGTTTCTGTTTTGTTCCATTGGTCTACATGTCTGTTTTTGTGCCAGTACCAGGCTGTTTTAAAGATTTATTGGAAAGACAAAGTTATGAGAGAGGTAGAGACTGAGAGAGAGGTTTCCATCTGCTGGTTCACTCCCTAGATGGTCACAATAGCTGCAGTTGTGCTGATCTGAAGCCAGGAGCCAGGAGCTTCTTCCAGGTCTCCCACATGGGTGCAGGGGCCCAACAAGTTGGGCCATCTTCTACTGATTTCCCAGGCCATAGCAGAGAGCTAGATTGGAAGAGGAGCAGCCAGGACTAGAATCAGTGCCCATGTGGGATGGCAGCGCTTCAGGCTAGGGCTTTAACCTGCTGTGGCACAGTGCCAGCCCAATACCAGGGTGTTTTGATTATAAATCCCCTGTGTTAATTCTTGAAATCTGGTATTGCGATGTCTTGTGCTTTGTTTTTGTTGTATAGGTTTGCTTTAGCTATTTGGGGTATCTTATGTTTCCATATGACTTTTAGCAGCATTTCTTTTCTAGATCTGAGAAGAATGTCATTGTTATTTTGATTGGGATCACATTGAACCTGTAAATTGCTTTCAGTAGTATGGAAATTCTGAAGATATTGATTCTTCCAATCCATGAACCTGGGAGAATTTTCCATTTTTAAGGTCTTCTACTCTTTTTTTTTTTTTTAAATGTTTTATAATTTTTATCGTAGAGATCTTTGGCCTCCTTGGTTAAATGTATTCCAAGGTATCTATTTTTTTGTAGCTATTGTGAATTGAATTAATCTTAAAAGTTCTTTCTTGGCTGGTGCCACAGCTCAATAGGCTAATCTTCCACCTGTGGCGCCGGCACCCCAGGTTCCAGTTCTGGTCGGGGCACCGGATTCTGTCCCGGTTGCTCCTCTTCCAGTCCAGCTCTCAGCTGTGGCACGGGAGTGCAGTGGAGGATGGCTCCACTGCTTGGACCCTGCACCCACATGGGAGTCCAGGAGAGGTACTTGGCTCCTGGCTTTGGATCAGCGCGGTGCGCCAGCTGCAGCACACCGGCCACAGCGGCCATTTAGGGGGTGAACCAACAGAAAAAGGAACTCTGTCTCTCTCACTGTCCACTCTGCCTGTCCCCCCCCCCCAAAAAATAAAAAAAGAAAAATAGTTCTTTCTCAGCCATGGCATTGTCTGTATTTACAAAGGCTATTGATTTTTGTGTGTTGATTTTTTTCTTTTTTTTAAGATTTCTTTATTTACATGAAAGAGTTACATAGAGAAGAAGAAAAAGGAGGAGGAGGAGGGAGGAGGGAGGAGGAAAGAGGGAAGAGGGGGAAGGGGGAAGGAAAGGGGAAGGAGAAGACTCCCACACGGGTCCAGGGACCCAAATTCTTGGGCCATTTTCCACTGCTTTCCTAGGCCATAGCAGAGAGTTAGATCAGAAGTGGAGCCGCTGGGTCTTGAACTAGTGCCCCTATGGGATTCTGGCACTGCAGTCAGTGACTTAACCCACTACGCCACAGCACCGGCCCCTGTGTGTTGATTTTCTATCGTGTCACTTTACCAAACTCTTTTATGAGATCCAATAGTCTCTCATTGTCTTTTGGATCCCATATATCATATCATCTGCAAATAGGGATAATTTGACTTTCTCCTTTCTGATGGGATCCCTTTGATTTCTTTTTCTTGCCTAACTGTTCTAGCTGAAACTTCCAAGACTATATTAAATAGCAGTGGTGAGAGTGGGCATCCTGTTCTGGTTCCAGATCTTAGGGGAAATGCTTCTAGGTTTTTGCCATTCAATAGGATGCTGGCCATGGGTTTGTCATAAATTGCCTTGATTTCATTGATCAGGGATTCTTAATGGAGGGACCATTTCAAACAAGCTGTGTTCAGGACATATTACTGCCTAACACAGAACACAGTAGTTTTTTGGAGGATTGTGATCTGGAAATTGATTGTAATTTTCAAGGCAACTTAGGTTATACTGTGATAATACATGAACCTCAAAGTTGTAAGGGATCAATGCAATAAAGATTTACATCAGTCTCAGAGTGAACATATAACAGTTGTTGTACCTGCATGAGTGCAGAGGAGCACCACACCCTGATGTTTGATGGCCCTTTATTGCCAGCAGTGGAGAGCGGGTTCACACCCTAAAGAACTCTGAACCCTGAATCCCAAAGCAACATAGTTTATAGAGGCAGAATCCACAGAATCGGGAGGGGAATACATGGTTGTTAAGATCAGGGGAGAATACATGGTTTCTGGAGTCAAGCTGACCTATGGCCTATGTGATACTAATATCAATTATAATCTTTATAATACCATTTATAAGCTTAACAGTTTCAATTATAATCTTGGCATTAATCCAGGTATTGGCTTAAATCATATGTAGGACATAGAAAAATTACATTTTTGAATTACTAACCCAGGTATAGCTTATTCACTTCCAAGCTTGAGCCATCATGCTAGGGGGTTTCTTTGTTTTGCCAGGTATGATGTAGTAGACTGCTATTGTCTGAGTGTTTTAGATTGTAGTTTTAGACCAGAGTCTCATGGTGTGTGTGGGGTGCTTTCTCAGGATGGAGTCTCAGGTGCTCTAAGATGGAGCCCCTACTGTCAAGGTGCTACTTCACAGTGATTGCTGGGAGAGGGGGTTGTGCTCCCTAGTGACATGGGGTGATGATGAGGGAAAGACCACTGTCCTGATGATGCCACATCCAAACTTCATGCCTTCCTTCGTTGGACTTGCGAAGCATACAGAACCTTTGGGGGATCTTATGTATTTTGTTTCATGGTGTGAGTGGGGAGTCACTTTCCTTAAAGACATGGTCACGTGAAATGTGATCTTCTCTGTGCTCAGAATGACAGAGTGCAGCATGGGTACTGGCTCATTCACAATAACATCCTGATTTGTTGCCACAATCCTCACCTTCCCGATGTGAAGAAGTATTTTTCTACAATGTGTACATTGACAAGACTCTCCACATCACTGTGTAGTATGTACACATTTGCAGATGAAACTCGTTTGCCGTGAAAGCAATATCACTAGATACTGAGGATGCCTTTTGTTCCTTAAGATACAGATGGATTTGTATGAATTTTATCTCTATATATCTGAATCCATCCCTTATATGTAGCATATATTTAGGATTTTGTATATGTATGTACATGGGACAAAGACATGTGTTGAGTACACAGGTACCTCCTGCCGCATTTGAATGCTTTCTCTTTCCAGTTATACCTGTCCTTCAGCTTCAGTGTTTTCAAGGAAAATCCAATTTGCAAACACTGCTATGCTACAGATAAAGGATTAATAACCAGATTCTACAAAGAGATCAAGAAACTCCACAACAAGAAAACAAACAACCCACTTAAGAGATGAGCCAAGGACCTCAATAGACATTTTTCAAAAGAGGAAGTCCAAATGGCCAACAGGCACATGAAAAAATGTTCAAGATCACTAGCAATCAGGGAAATGCAAATCAAAACCACAATGAGGTTTCACCTCACCCCGGTTAGAATGGCTCACATTCAGAAATCTACCAACAACAGATGCTGGCGAGGATGTGGGGAAAAAGGGACACTAACCCACTGTTGGTGGGAATGCAAACTGGTCAAGCCACTATGGAAATCAGTCTGGAGATTCCTCAGAAACCTGAAGATAACCCTACCGTTCGACCCAGCCATCCCACTCCTTGGAATTTACCCAAAGGAGTTTAAATTGATAAACAAAAAAGCGGTCTGCACCCTAATGTTTATTGCAGCACAATTCACAATAGCCAAGACCTGGAACCAACCTAAATGCCCATCAACGGTAGACTGGATAAAGAAATTATGGGATATGTATTCTTTAGAGCACTATACCGCAGTAAGAAACAACGAAATCCAGTCATTTGCAACAAAATGGAGGAATCTGGAACACATCATGCTGAGTGAAGTAAGCCAGTCCCAAAGGGACAAATACCATATGTTCTCCCTGATCGGTGACAACTGACTGAACACCAAAGGGGAAACCTCCTGAAGTGAAGTGGACACTATGAGAAATGGTGACTTGATCAGCATAGCCCTGACTGCTGATGGACAACTTAATACATTATCCCTCATAGTATTTTTTTTTGTCTGTTCTACTTGATATGACTGGTTTAATTCTGTAATTATCACACAGTTATTCTTGAGTGTTGAAAATTAACTGAAATGTGATCCCTGTTGAACGTAAGAGTGGGAATAAGAGAGGGAAGAGATGTGTAATTTGGGGCATGCTCGGGCTGACTTGCCCCAATTGGTAGAGTTGGAAACATACCAGGGGATTCCAATTCAATCCCATCAAGGTGGCATGTGCCAATGCCATCTCGCTATTCCAGGTGATCAATTTCAGTTCACAATTGATCATAATGAAAGGACTGAGAGTCAAGGGGAGCACATGGGCAAGTCTAGTATCTGCTGACACCAACCGATAGAATGGATAAAGGGGAGAGTGGTCCAGCATGGGAAGTGAGATGCTCAGCAGACTCATAGAATGGCGGATGTCCTAAATCGCACTCTGGCCTCAGAATCAGCCCTGATGGCACTCGGATCTGGCTGAAAAGCCCATTAGAGTATTTCAGGCATGGAAAGCCAAGACACTCTGGCAAAAAGATCTCTGTGAGTGAGATCCCAGTGGAAAGAACAGGTCTTCAAAGAGGGAGGTGCCTTTCTCTGAAGGGAGGAGAGAACCTCCACTTTGACTATGACCGTGTCTAAACAAGATAAGAGTCGGAGAACTCAGGGGGCTTCCATAGCCTTGGAAACTCATAACTGGTGCATAGGGAGATTACTGATGCCATAAACAGGAGTGTCAATTTGTGAAGTCAACGGCAGGAGTCACTGTGCACTTACTCCTCATGTAGGATCTCTGTCCTTAACGTGCTGTACACTGAGGCTTAATGCTATAACGAGTACTCAAACAGTATATTTCACTTTGTGTTTCTATGGGGGTGCAAACTGTTGAAATCTTTACTTAATGTACACTAAACTGATCTTCTG